TCCTTCTCGGCGTCGCGCTTCTTCATCTCCTCGAGCTGCCTCTGGGTATAGTGAAGCTCGGCTTGCTCGCGGTATTCCTTCTCGAGGCGCCGCCTTTCCTCAGCGGCTTCCTCAGCAGCCCCTTCCTCCTTGAGGCGCTTGTACTCAAGTTCCTTAACGATGCGCTTCTCCACCTCTGCATCCTGGCCGCGCTTTCTCATGTCTTCCAGCTGCTGCCTTGCAATACGGAGCTCAGCTTCATCGCGATATTCCCTCTCGAGCCGACGCTCGTCCTTTGAGCGCTCTTCCCTCATGCGCATCTCCTCAAGCTGACGGCGTGCAAGCTCCGCCTCCCAGGCTTCTCGCGTCCTGTGCGACGAACGACGGGACGACGCCGAGGACGAGGATCGAGAGCGGGACCGGGAAGATCGGCGGTAGACGGTGCGGCGGGTGCGGCGAGGCCCGCCGTCGCTGTCTTCGTCAGACGAATGCTCATTGTAGATTCGGTTGTTGATGACGATGGGAGCCGGGGCTGCGGGCGGCGGAGGCCGGGCTGCACCGGTCGAGGCAGAGGCGACGGCGGCGAGGCCAGCGCGGCTGTCACGAGGGGTCTCGCGGCTCAGGCGAGGCGGCGATCGAGGGCGAGAGGGCGGCCTGGCGACGGCGGTGGCGCGAGGCTCGGAGCGAAGATAGTCGGTCCCGCTGCCATACTGGACTCCCCGCACGGGAGGGCCCTGGACGTAGCGGACGTTGGGGGGCGACTGGCGGCGGGCGACGTGGATGCGGTACTCCTCGTCGGAGTCGTAGAGGCTGCTGCTCATTTTGGGTTTTCACGAGCAAGAACAGCTGGGGAATAGAAGATGTCAAGGATGAAAATGGAAGAGGAAGAGGAAGAAGAAGAAGAAGAAGAAGAAGGAAAGAAGAAAAAGAAGGTAACAAAAGAGTTACAGGCAGGAACACGTCGCGCGCTCAAGCAAGAGCCGATAAGGCAGAATCACAAGGCAGGAATAGTGGGGGGAGGGGGAGG